GTTTAACCCCGCTCAGCAGCGTGGGAGATACTCTCAGCGGTATTGGAAGTCCGCAATTTACATGTGACTGAGGCCAGGTTAGGGTATATTTTTGGCCTCAATAATTCGGGGCCGTTATTCGGAAGAAAGCCGAATTTTTTTATACATGGTGACATGGAGTCTCTTAGTTTTCTTACAAAATTATTGGGATTTTTTGACGGCGCAATGGACGTGAGCTCCCAGTTTCTGGTACCTATGAAAACAACTTCCCACATTTTCTTTCCACTGCCCAGACAGTATTTTTGACCTCAATCCTGTATTGTTGTTTCTTATCAGGAAACGAATTATGTTTTCTATGGCAACACATACACTCTAATCCAAAGCCGTTATTCTTAGTTAGGTCAGAGGCAGACACGACAATATCAATAATGTAGGGTGGTACCACTGTTTAGTCTATATGAATTGGATCTGTGTCAGATCTTCCAAGGCGGGATCCCACACCTTGAGAACCACTGGTCTACAATACAGAAATGTATCCGGAAAAACCTAAATCAATTTGGTCACGCTCTCACGACTTTGAAGACTCTTTTCTTCCAAGAGCAGGTGTGCATGAATATCACATTACTTGTGTACGCTTCTTGACTTCATAGAATGTTTACTCTGTCATGATCTGGCAATAGAAAGTTCATTATAGGAATATACGGTCTCGGTTATATATAAAGTTATAATCAGAAGGCGTTTTGTTTAAAAACAAGGGAGTGGCAGACTGAGTGAGTTGATAAGGGATGGACTGCGTAGTTGGCACGGGTGGGGTGGGTGGGGTGGAGGGGGGGGGGGAGCTGATCCTGAGGATCGGGTACCAAGATCTGTGGAGATGCCTGAACGCCTACGTCAGTAGGCAGGACAACTGATAGTGATGCCTATTGTAATAGTCCTGAAAAAGAGTGCTTAAAACAGGTGCCGGTTATGCGCACCGTTAATTAATTAAATTCGGTGCCATCTCCACAGTGAAGGTTGCTAACAGAGTGCCACTGTTGTCTTTAGGAATATTACGTGGTTAGGCCCAGGTCTCTTTCTCGGTAAGACTCTCGTACTATTGTCCGAAATCATCGACAACGGTAGAGTTTTTTGACGGTTCCACCGGGAGGAACGAATTGTAATTCTCAAGGATGGTGTAGTTAACCACATTCATTATCCTAAAATCCGTAGAGCCGGGGGGCGGCGGGGGGGGGGGGGGGGGGGGGGGGGGGGGGGGGGGGGGGGGAGGGGGGGGGGGAAGCACCGCCTTTACGGTATTCTTTTTCTTCTTCTTTTTTTTTCCTCCTTCTGTACTATATTCCTGTAATGCCTCGCGGCATACCACGTATCGTGAGACTTGGGACATTAGCTCTAACGATCCTGTTGTACATCTGTCTGCCTGAGAGACATTCAAGAATCTGCATACAAATAAGCCAGATCTGTGAAACGGATGTTCACGCAACACCCAGGTTCTCCAAGAAGACTAAAGAGGAGGTGGACGAACACCCAACACTTTTCATTGAAGCTTCCCGTCAGTGAACATGAAGAAAAAGAATTTTATATGTCTATAGATAAACCAACAGAATCTTATTTTCACAGTCATTTGAATAGTACAAATACCAGTTGAGTTGAGGTAGGAACAGACATTACAGCATTGGGGACATTCTCATAAGTCTGCCTTCCCCATCTTCTGCAGCTAGCGCAAAGCTATACTTCGATAGTACCAACAGCAGCCTTAACGTCCATATTGCCTTTCTCTCTCTCTCTCTTTCTCGAGTGTCAAGTGTCGGGCAAATCCCCTGGTGGCTCCCGGCTGCATCATTCTTTTCAGACTGTGATGATCTGATCTATCTCTTTCGCAAAGTACATTCAATCCATCTAGGTGAGAGGTGAGAGGACTGACTTCACTGTATTGGGGTTTATTCAATACGACAGAGTCTCTCTCCGTAGAACAGCTAGCTGCCTGTCGAAAGCGTTGCACAGAGCACGACCTCCGCAGCTCTCGCGATGATCCCCAGTAATCTCCATACAAACTGCACTCGTGAACAGAATGCCGCCGCCGTGAAACAAACCCACGACCTTCAGAGTGCGAGGCAAACGGCTTGTCCACTTCGCTACGGAGACACCTGAATACATAGAGGATATCACGCTACTCCTTCAGCAGCCAGCGCAAAGTTTTAAATATGTTGTGATGGATGTTAACATTTTAAATATTACCATCATCATGATCGCAAACATCAAGATCGCTATCTTCAACACTACCAACACCATCTTCGTGTTGTGTTTAGAGCTGAAAGTTGACAAGTGTAAGGTCGAGGGGTTCCATTTAGTCGCTTCAGGTTTTATCACAGAGGGCTGAGTTTCCCGCAAAAAAAGAACGGTTAGCCCTCTGCTAACTTCATAGCACAAAGCACGCTCACCGTAGCTCAGCGGAATGCTGAATGCTAGGTAAACTACTTAACCAGTAGGCTACTCTTCACTATACAAAATCCGTCCACGTCTTTATGTAAATTCGTCCTGTTTTATATTTTCCTTTTAAATGTTTGTTTGATATTCCCCGAAAAGTCAACATTTGTCCTTCCTCCGACGTGGCGAGTCATCAGAAGAAAGAAACAAAAATTATAATGGGCCGGTTCTAAGTGCTGAAGTGAAGGAATGGCTGTTTACATGGGGCTAAAATACATGTTTTCATGGGATCTAAAAAACCCGGATAACTTTTAAAAAATAAAAGAGTGTTAGGGAATCGTCTAGAAATGCTGATAAATTACCAGGCCATCTATTGCTAGTCTTATTTTTTTATAGACCCATCGGTACTCAGTCATGCTGTGGTCAACAAACCTAGTTAACTGTATTCCGCAAGCCGTAGACTGCACCCATTTGTTTAAGGACACCTCCCACAGTCTAAATACGGCCCTGGGTAAAGCAATCTCCCATTGAGCAATCGACCACTACCACTCGATTAGTGACTGATGCTGTCAACATGACACAGGCGACCTGCACTTCACATGATATGGTATCGATTTAGGCTGGGTCGATCTGGGAGTTTAGTAAAGAACCCTGGGCATCGGCCAAATGAGGGTAAATAATGCTAGAGTTACAGGTTGTTGGTTGCGTATCCTTTACAGGACGTTGCAGAACCAACCCCAGAAGCCCCTGGCTGTTGTGTGGTTTTTCAAGGCAAATTTACGTCCAGTAGTTTGCCATTGTTTACTGGACGGTCGACCCCCTGATACTACTGTCAAAGCCAATGCAAGGCGCATGGCCCGCAGCTGGGATCGAACCCGGCACCCCGGCATTACGAAGCGTTGGCATCAACTTAGCCACAGAGCCGACCAGATTTACAGGTATATCAGCAATAGGTAAGTGATAGAGTCAACAGCACGCTGGCAACCTTTTTTTCCTAGTATATTAACTGATACCTATTTTAGACTGGTGCGACCTCAGGAACCAAAATCAGTTTCAATATTAATTCAGCCACGAATTCTTCTTCTTCTTCTCCTTCGCGTTCACTGACGGCAATTTTTAGCGGAAAGTTCTGGTTGTTCCTCTACTTATGGATTTGTATCCGGATCCGGAACCTGGGTTTTGTTTGTGTGCACATCAGTTTTAAATATCTGACTTATTTGTGTCTGTTAGTCTTAGTTTCAGCTTCATAGCAGACGGGTCACCCCATCGTTGCTCTGCTCTTGTGCCAACGAACGTAAAACACACAGAATGTCTGTCTCAGCATATCTAAGATACACACGCATTAAAAGCATGCGGTAGCCATCTGAAGTGCTAGCACAAACAGTCCGACATTAGAAATGCAGTTCATTATTGATGGTAGCAGAAGTCATCAACAGATCAGCAGTTGCTTACGCGATTAATTTTAATCACATAAGAGCACCACCAATATTGTGACAACAGGCATCGCGCCATTTTCTGAATCTACAATTCACACCATACATCAGTGTCACGCCATGCATTCAGCTCAGAAGCTGGGCGACGAAACTATTTCCTTTGTCTACAAATGGAGCAAAAGTGCAACGGCCACCGTCTGGCAGAAGCAAAAAAAATATGTGCACCCACTCCAAACAGTGCCCGTGCCTAGTGTCCATTTTGAACGGAAGTTATTATTGGGATAGCAACTTATTTGTGTAAAGACTGCTGGTTCCTTGCATCTCAGGCAGATGTACTCCAACTTTGAAGGAAGTTCCCAATTAGTCGACTTTTTAGGACATGCTTTTGGGTAGACAATGGGTTCTACTCACAATGGGACATCGGAACCCACACGGGGATATACGAATTCGAACCTAAAACCTTCAGCTGGGCGTCCAGCAACTAGACAGTTACAATAATCTGCCACGATGACTTTTAAGTAAACGAGCCTTTTCCAAACCTTCAGGTGTACTGGGCACACAGGGTTCGACCTAAAATTTATAAATCAATCGACACTCTGTGGGTGATGTGTTTAACGTCACGAGTTAACCCCCAGGACTTTGGTTCCCATTTAAGGCTGGGTCGACCTGGGAGCTAAAGTAATTTTTAAAATAAAAATTCATCTCACTCAAGACTTGAGCCCCGATCTTAGGATCCGCAGGCGAGCGTCGGGCCGCTTCACCACGACAGCCCCCCCCCCCCCCACCCACCCCCAACCACCCGCATGACTTGACGAATGTATTTTACCTTCTGTACTTTTTAATTAGTATTACAATTCCGCTAGCAATGCTTCACAGCGTATGCGTTCGCCAACAAGCGTTGCACCCACCTGACGTTCTGCGGCCATAGACAGAACTACGTTGCCAGGTGAAAACAGGGTGACTGTCACGGTCGCGGACATAGAGAGAATGCGGTTTGAAAAAGATACATACAGCAAAGGTTAACGGTGTATTCGCCTGTGATTGATTATTCGATAGGTCTAGTATCAGTTAAAAACAAAATACTTCTGTGCAGATGTAAAAGTCAAACACGACATTTTGAACCTGTTAGTACCCACGGTGGATTCTTGAACATCGAGCATTAGAATGTTCAGAGGTAGAAGTCGAGGATGTCTACTAATGATTCTCGCAATTTGTGTCTCTGCTACAGTGTGGACTTACTCTAGGTTGGTAATCATTTACTCTAGGTTGGTAATCATTTACTCTAGGTTGGTAATCATTTACTCCAGGTTGGTAATCATTTACTCTAGGTTGGTAATAATTTACTCTAGGTTGGTAATCATTCACTCTAGGTTGGTAATCATTTACTCTAGGCTGGTAATCATTCACTCTAGGTTGGTAATCATTTACTCTAGGTTGGTAATCATTTACTCTAGGTTGGTAATCATTTACTCTATGTTGGTAATCATTTACTTTAGGCTGGTAATCATTTACTCTAGGTTGGTAATCATTTACTCTAGGTTGGTAATCATTTACTCTAGGTTGGTAATCATGTGCATTTAGATGTGTCGCTCAGCCAGATATTATGTGAGGGATATGAGTGTGTGGATGGGTAAGTGTTTAAGGGATATGAGAGTGTGTATGGGTATGTGTGTAAGGGATATGAGTGTGTGGTTGGGTAAGTGTGTGAGGAATATAAATGTGTGAATGGGTTAGGTGTGTGAAAAACATAATTGTGTGAATGGGTTAGGTGTGTTAGAGATATTAGTGTGTGTATGGGTAAGTGTGTGAGCAATATGAGTGTGTGTATGGGTATGAATGTGATGGAAACGAGTGTGTGTACGGGGATGTGCGTGAGGGATACGAGTGTATGGGTATGTTTGTGACGGATATGATTGTGTGTATGGGTATGTTTGTGACTGATATGATTGTATGTATGAGTATGTTTGTGACGGATATGATTGTGTGTTTGGGTATGTTTGTGACGGATATGATTGTGTGTATGGGTATGTTTGTGACGGATATGATTGTGTGTATGGGTATGTTTGTTACGGATATGATTGTGTGTATAGGTAAGTGTGTGAGGAATATGAGTGTGTGTATGGGTATGTATGTGATGGATATGAGTGTGTTTATGGGTAAGTGTGTGAGGGATATGAGTGTTTGTATGGGTATGTATGTGATGGATATGAGTGTGTTTATGGGTAAGTGTGTGAGGGGTATGAGTGTGTGTATGGGGATGTGTGTGAGCGAAATGAGTATGTTTTTGGGGATGTGTTTATGGGTATGTGTGTGAGGTATATGAGAGTGTGTATTGGTATGTGTAGGATAAGCATGAGTGTGTATATGAATAAGTGTGTGAGGGATATAAGTGTGTGAGGGATATAAGTGTGTGAGGGATATAAGTGTGTGAGGGATATAAGTGTGTGAAGGATATAAGTGTGTGAGAGATATAAGTGTGTGAGGGATATAAGGGTTGTGAGTGATATGTATGTATGTATGTATGTATGTATGTATGTATGTATGTATGTATGTATGTATGTATGTATGTATGTATGTATGTATGTATGTATGTATGTATGTATGTATGTATGTATGTATGTATGTATGTATGTATGTATGTATGTATGTATGTATGTATGTATGTATGTATGTATGTATGTATGTATGTATGTATGTATGTATGTATGTATGTATGTATGTATGTATGTATGTATGTATGTATGTATGTATGTATGTATGTATGTATGTATGTATGTATGTATGTATGTATGTATGTATGTATGTATGTATGTATGTATGTATGTATGTATGTATGTATGTATGTATGTATGTATGTATGTATGTATGTATGTATGTGTATGTATGTATGTATGTATGTATGTATGTATGTATGTATGTATGTATGTATGTATGTATGTATGTATGTATGTATGTATGTATGTATGTATGTATGTATGTATGTATGTATGTATGTATGTATGTATGTATGTATGTATGTATGTATGTATGTATGTATGTATGTATGTATGTATGTATGTATGTATGTATGTATGTATGTATGTATGTATGTATGTATGTATGTATGTATGTATGTATGTATGTATGTATGTATGTATGTATGTATGTATGTATGTATGTATGTATGTATGTATGTATGTATGTATGTATGTATGTATGTATGTATGTATGTATGTATGTATGTATGTATGTATGTATGTATGTATGTATGTATGTATGTATGTATGTATGTATGTATGTATGTATGTATGTATGTATGTATGTATGTATGTATGTATGTATGTATGTATGTATGTATGTATGTATGTGTATGTATGTATGTATGTATGTATGTATGTATGTATGTATGTATGTATGTATGTATGTATGTATGTATGTATGTATGTATGTATGTATGTATGTATGTATGTATGTATGTATGTATGTATGTATGTATGTATGTATGTATGTATGTATGTATGTATGTATGTATGTATGTATGTATGTATGTATGTATGTATGTATGTATGTATGTATGTATGTATGTATGTATGTATGTATGTATGTATGTATGTATGTATGTATGTATGTATGTATGTATGTATGTATGTATGTATGTATGTATGTATGTATGTATGTATGTATGTATGTATGTATGTATGTGTGTATGTGTGTATGTGTGTGTTTGTGTGTGTGTGTGTATTTGTGCGCCAGCGTGCGTGCGTGCGTGTGCGTGTGTAAGTGAGTGCGTGCTCTGTGTGTGTATATGTTTATGTATGGAATCCAAGTTTGTATGCACGTATGTGTGAGTATCCACCGGAATGAGAGGATCACTTAGCAGTTGGGCAGCGAAGGGCACCTACTTGTCATGACATTCTGAAATTTCTGTCAGAAGTCATCATCATCATGTGCCCCGCCAACTGGCGTAGGCTCATGCGCCTCCACAGATCACGATCCCTGGTTGCCTGCAACAGCTCTATTGATATTGTCCCTCCAGGCCATTGTTTTGAGCCCATTCAGCGTCCTCTCTTGGTCTGCCTCTACCCCTTGTTTCACTGATCTTTCCTGTTGTCACGATGTTCTCCAATGTCTCTCTTCTCGTAACGTTGCCAAAGAACAGTTTTTGTCTCTTTCCTATTGTTGTGTGGAATGATCTACTTTCATTATCTTCTTTCAAGCAGTCGATATTAGTTACTCTAGCCGTCCAATGTATTCGTAACATTCGCCCAGAAAACACATCTGTCAAAAGTGCATGTTAACATACCACATGTGTATATGGAAGACAACAGGAAAACATTACATTTTATTCCCAAGATAGCTCATGAAGAAACATAGATTGTATCACACGAACGACGTTAATAGAAGTCTAAGGCCAGCCTCGTTCGATAGGGACAGTCACGAGTTACAGATGACACTAGAGCGTCATCCGATTACTGATGGCAATTGTGAACAAAAAATAAGCAAATTAAAAGTGTTAAACTAGCACAGTGAAATGTGTGACACACTGGCAGAATTGGGAATGACAGAAAATGTTTTAAAAGAAATGGAATGTATGAAAATAAACATCTTAGGAATGAGTAAATGAGAAGAAATGAAAAAGGTGAAACATTGGTAGATTGGGCCACAATAAAGGATATTATGACTGTAAACACCTGGTTTAAAAAAGAAGAGAAACGGCTATACACGTGGAAAAGTCAAGATAAGAACACACTCAATCAAACAGATTATATTCTAATTAATAAAAGGTTTAGAAATGCACCAACAAATTTGAAGACGAGACCAAGTGCCGACTGAAACAGAGACCACGTCCTATTATGTGGAAAATTAAATGTAAGTTTGAAGAGTTGAATAAAAAGGTGAAAAACTATAGACTAAAGAACAAAATTCTAAGAGAGGATAAAGAAATTCAGTAGCGACATAGAGTGATTGTGAGGTAAAGGTACAATGCAATACCAAAAATAAAAACTATAAACGATCAGTGGGAAATGCTGAAAGACTCCATCCACCAAATAAGCAAAGAGATTTTACCACAAAGAAGACACATAACTAAACAGAAATGTATGATAAAAGACATTTTAAAGGTATGGGTGACACTGTTTTAATTACACAGAAGAATGTGTCAAGATAAATAAAGAAATGATGCGTAAGTGTATTAAGGCAAAAGAAGAGTGGAAATGAACAATGCAATCGCATTGAACACAGCCCTATTAAAGATGCCAAAAATGTGCACAAACTACTGTTCGAACTTGAAGAAGGAAGGATACGAGTAGGATGTCTGCAAAACAGGAGAGATTCTAATGGAGGAATATGATATTATATATATATATATATATTATTATTAAAATGAAATGATATTATGAATGTTAGGTGAAATGATTGCATAAGAGAGTTAGATGATGGAAAGAGCAGAATTACCAGGGGAAAAAAATGTAGAAGGTCCGCCTATACTAAAGGAAGAAATCAGGGACTCTATTCAACATATGTAGAAAGGAAAGTCAACCGGTCCAGATGAAATTTAGTTACAAGAATTAGAATTATTAGGGGATTTTGGGGTAGAAATGTTAACTAAACTGTTGAATGAAATTTATAACACTGGGTACGTACCAAGTAATATGACGAAATTTGTATTTATTGCGTTACCCAAAAGACCAGGAGCGATTTAATGTGAAGAATTTCGTACAATCAACCTAATAAACCATGTCACCAAATTACTACTCAGAATTATAATGAGAAGAACAATAAGAAAAATAAGAATGAAAATGAGTGAAGAGCAGTATAGATTTATGGAAGGTGAAGGGACAAGTAATGCAATATACATATTACGAACACGTGTAGAAAGATCAATAGACATACAAAAGGACTTATATTTCTGCTTTATAGATAATACTAAAGCATTTGACAAAGTTAAACATAAGGAGATTAAAGAAATGTTGGAAGACATCAATGTAGTAGGGAAAGATCTCAAAATAATGAAAAGTATTTACTGGAATCAAGTCATTATCATCAGGTGCCTTGCCGACTATCGTGGGCGATCATGCCCCTCCATAATCTGCGATCTCCTGCAGCATGTATCAGTTCGTGTGCCGACACACCTCCATGCCATGCAACAAGACTGTCAAGCATCTTCTCTCGTTGTCTTCCTCTATCTCTCCTTCCACATATCTTTCCAGTGGTCCCCACATGTTCCATTTTCCCTCTTCTCATAACATGGCCGAAAAATGATGAC